TTGGGCCAGAATCATGGGAACAGAGCTGTTCGGCCCCTTTACGGTCCCCGAAGGTGTAAAGATGACCTCTGCAAAGTATGTAGAGTTTATGACTGACCACTTTCTTCCCTGGTACAGAAGGAAGAACTATGCTTTCCGTAATAAAATCATCTTCATGCATGACAATGCACCATCTCATGCTGCAAAGAATACCTCTGCATCAATGGCTGTTATGGGGATAAAAGAGAGAAAGTCATGGTGTGGCCTCCATCCTCCTCCCCTGACCTCAATCCTATTGAGAACCTTTAGAGCATCCTCAAGCAAAAGATCTATGAGGGTGGGAGGCAGTTTACATCCAAACAGCAGCTCTGGGAGGCTATTCTGACATCTTGCAAACAAATTCAAGCAGAAACTGTCCAAAAACTCACAAGTTCAATGGATGCAAGACTTGTGAAGCTGCTATCAAATAAGGGGTCCTATGTTACAATGTAACGTGACCTGTTCAAATGTTTAAAAAGTTAAAATGTTGTTAAAAGTTTGATTGAAATAGCTTTTGATTTCAGTAAATATGCTGCAAACACAACAAATGACCATTTTCAGTTCTTTACAACCTATAAAGTGTTTTGAAACTTACTGTGTGGGAATAATTTGGAACAGTCATTGTAAGTGTTTTATGTTTAACAAAAATCCTGTTATCATTAGGAGTTTGTTCAATAAAATGTGAATTGTACTCTTAATAGTTGATAACATGAGAATTATGCTGACTGTTTTTTACATCAATTATTTAGGTAAATGAGAAAAATATCATTTGCATAATAATTTGGAACACGGTGTATATTAGCTTTTTCTTAAAAGAGAAGACCAGAGGGATAATGGGATTAGTATGCACAACCCCAAATAAAACATAAAAGCACAAACACTAGTACACAAGGTGTCAAATTGGCGTTAACAGCTGTTACCAAACTACAAGTCCCATGAGGCATTGCAAGATTGACAGTTATAAGCATGACTCCCAAAGGCAGAGGGTTGATGGGACTTATAGTTGCGCAACACTTGCAGGGCCACCAGTTTGACACCCCTGCACTAGTACAACAGAAACAGTCAATTAGCAATTTCGAACTGATTATACAGTTATATGCAGTCAACTTCAACCACTGAAATGCAACCCCGGCAGTAAGAGGGGGAAGAGAAGGCTTGCTGGCTTGTCAGCTCCCTCTGGGTCTCCGGCGTTACAAGGGGCATGCAGAAAATCCTATCAGAAATTATACTCCTGTATAAATATATGTAGGTACCCTGTTTGAGTAACAATGGCCTTAGAAAGTTCCTTTAACTAGAAACTGCAGCTTGAGTTCTGTGATACTGAAATTTCCTAATATGGTGGTATCTGCTTTCTTCTGCTAGCAATGATGGGGCCCATAAATATTACTGGGGGGGGCCCAGTCAGGTAGGCTGTACGGAGCCCTCATGATTTTTCCAGAGGGGGGCCCAGTCAGGTAGGCTGTATGGGGGCCCTCATGATTTTTTCCAGAGAAGGTCCCAGTCAGGTAGGTTTTAAGGGGGCCCTCATGATTTTTTCCGGAGGGGGTCCCAGTCAGGTAGGCTTTATAGGGGCCCTCATGATTTTTCCGGAGGGGGGCCCAGTAAGGTAGGTTGTACAGGGGCCCTCATGATTTTTTCCGGAGTGGTGCCCAGTCAGGTAGGCTGTACGGGGGCCCTCATTATTTTTTCAGGAGGGGGTCCGAGTCAGGTAGGCTGTATGGGGCTCTCATTTTTTCTAACGGTGGCCCATCCACTACTTTTTTCCGGAGAGGGCCCAGTCAGGTAAGGCTGTATGGGGGCCCTCATGATTTTTAATAGCAGCCCATCCACTACTTAACAACCCTGTAATCTATTGTATTTGCCTGTCTTTGGCATCTTCTTTTGTAGGCAGCTTAACCCCTTTATGCCTAAGGGTAAAACAAATCTAAATGCCTAAGCACAATTCTGCAATGTTGACATGTGTTAGTAAAACCGTACATATCATCACAACTACTTTGTACATCCAGGTGAATTATATTTTTTTCAGGACAAATTGGGCTTTCATTTGGTGGTAAATGGTAATGCATATCTCCTGATTTTTTTTCATTATGAAAGGAAAACTGGCCCAAAATAGTAAAAAGAAAATAATTTTTTATTATTTAGCTGTGTGTTTCTTGTTACTACCATAACCTACCACCAAAGAACAACCCAAAATAAATTCTCCAGCTCTTTATGATCGCAGCGATACCATATACAGTCAGGTCCATAAATATTGGGACATTGACACAATTTTAACATTTTTGGCTCTATACACCACCACAATGGATTTGAAATGAAATGAACAAGATGTGCTTTAACTGCAGACTGTCAGCTTTAATTTGAGGGTATTTACATCCAAATCAGGTGAAAGGTGTAGGAATTACAACAGTTTGCTTATGTGCCTCCCACTTGTTAAGGGACCAAAAGTAATGGGACAAATTGGTTTCTCAGCTGTTCCATGGCCAGGTGTGTGTTATTCCCTCATTATCCCAATTACAATGAGCAGATAAAAGGTCCAGAGTTCATTTCAAGTGTGCTATTTGCATTTGGAATCTGTTGCTGTCAACTCTCAAGATGAGATCCAAAGAGCTGTCACTATCAGTGAAGCAACTGACTGTATGTGTATGTTATTTGTTGTTTGTACCCATAGTACAGCCGAGAAACAACAATGCGCATTTTGTTTTTGTATTTTTTTTTTGTACCTAAAACACACTAACACTACCTGACACTGATACCATTTTTTTTAAAATCCTGACCTTTGACCCTGACCTTTTGACCTTGACCTTTGACCCCGACCTTGACCCAAACATTAACCCTGGCACTGAACTAGATCAAACCTTGATCAAGGTATTTTTAGTTTTTCTTTTTTTTTTTATATTTATTTATTTATATTTTTTTTTTTAAGTGTCCCAACACATCCATTGCCTGTGCGCGCTCCCTGGGAGTGTGCGGCACCACGATCAGTGTATGGGACCTCTGTGTGAGGTCCCGATTGGCCAATCAGTGATCACATGAATAGTAGTAAACAAGATGTTACTTCCTGACATCATTGCTTACTACTTGTGAAAATCTGTGAATGGTCACAGAGGTCACCTGGTACAAGGCTATTCACAACAGCCTTGTACCATGTGACAAGCTGTGACAAATCATATTTTAGCCCAGATTTATGAAGAAAGATTATTTATTTGCAAAATTGTATAAGAAAAACACTTTGCTTCAACATTTTTTATCTTTTTTTTTTCATTTATATAGCAAAAAAATAAAAATCCCAGTGGTGAATAAATACCACCAAAATAAAGTTTTATCTGTCTCAAAAAAATGCAAAAAAATTCATATGGGTACAGTGTTGCATGACAATGCAATTGTCATTCAAAGTGCGATAGCACTGAAAGCTGAAAATTGGCCTGGACTGGAAGGGGGTGAAAGTGTCTGGACTTGAAGTGGTTAATCTCCAAATACGGAAACAGGGGCAGACTGACAACTCATGGGGCCCCCGGGCAATAGGGGATCATGGGGCCCCTGTGTCTTTGCCCAAACTCAAAAAAAGGTATGAAAAAGGTACCAGGGGCGTTTCATGGGGTCCCCTACTGACCCCGGGCCCTCGGGCAGTGCCTGAGTTTCCAAATGGTCAGTCCGCCCCTGTACGGAAAGGTATCTTCACACTGAGAACTGTGAGAATGTGGAATAGACTCCCTCAAGAGTTAGTTCTGGCCAGCTCAGTGGATTGCTTTAAAAAAGTCCTGGATTCTTTCTTGGATACACAGAATATAACTGGATACTAACATTTATAGGTAAAGTTGATCCAGGGAATATCCGATTTCCTCTCGGGGGATCAGGAAGGTCTTTATCACCTACTCTCCTCTCCTTTAGGCGCACCCTGAAAACCCATCTCTTCAGGGAAGCCTACCCCACCCCCTGCTAACTTGCAGACCTCCTCCACTCTTCCTACCACTCCATCCCCCACAGCTATCTCCTCCTGTGCCACCATCCCCTCCCTCCTAGATTGTAAGCTCGAAAGAACAGGGCCCTCAATCCCCTCATGTTTTGCATTGTATTGGTATTGTTCTGTCACATGTTCTGTCCCCCTTTGTAATGTACAGAGCTGAGCGAACTATTGGCGCTTTATAAATACTGTATAATATTAATAATAATTTCCCTGCAGGAGCAAATTGGATCATGCTTTGCTGGTTTTTTTGCTTTCCTCTGGATCAACTGTGGGTATAGGATTATAACTTTTTTTTTAATGGTTGAATTGGATGGACTTTTGTCGTTTTTCAGCCAGACTAACTATATAACTATGTAAATATAAACCTTCTCAGAAACGAAAAATACAGTAAAAAAATAAATAAATAAAATAAAAAAAAAAATCTGAATTTCTAAAGAAAATTATGCTTAACAAAATCTGCTCATTCCTAACAACCGGACATCTCGGAACTGGAGTTATAATCACTGTGGCTGTATGTGTATTGAACTGTTTTACTGAAGTATTGATTCTCAGCTATTAGGCCTATTGCTATAGTCTTTTAAAGACAATTCTATGCAGCCACACATTGCCCTGATTGAGCCACAGAGACATTGCTATGAAGAGTATGCGTATTCTTTTTGCCAATCTGAACCTGCTTTGCATTATTGTTGATAACTTTGCACCTGTTTAGTAAACTGCAAACTAGAGATTATCCCTGTCTCATCTTCTGGATTACTACCTATTCCATCAAATCACCAGGACAGAAAAAAGAAGGGAAATCCTTCAACGGGCGATATTTGTTCTATTGACAACTATCTAAAAAGTCTCTACAACGTGTCTATACAGGACAGAAAGCAAATGGAAATCTCCTTAGTGTTCATCAAATCCTACATCCTTCTCCAAAATGAAAAAAAAATATAGGGTTTTAGACAATATTGCAGACTCAAAATGATTGCTGTCAATACTTTCTACATACGATTTTGTTTGTGATGATACGTACCAATCTGTTTGAAGCAAAGGCAATAAGGTTTGTAGAATTTGATTGCATGCAGATGGAATGTTCTCCAGGAGTATGTGATGTAAATGTAAACTTCCCATCCGGTCCATACAGTTTAGACAGCAATATCTATAGGTATAAATGGTGAATTATGTGAAAGTAAGTATTTGAAATGAGGTATTACAATATGTGACTTAAGATGTCCTTATTTTTCACTGAGTCAATGATATGCACTGACTCATATGCTAGTGTATATATAATATTTTCAAAATAGATAGTGCCCATATGCGCTCCCATGTTGAAATATATGTATAAAAATATACTTTCAAAGTGCTAATGAATAGCTTTCAAATGATACTTTTGCATGTATCAATACAATTATTACTAGTGACTCAAATATCATTGTGAATACTGCATCTTCATGCAAGTGACATTAATAACTGATAATCCTAAAAAATAGTGCCTATTAAAGTACACTGATATACAAAAAGAAATACTCCTCTATTCTACTGTGATCCTTATATTTATATATGTGCAAAAAACATATATATTATGTGCACGTGCTTATGATATATTCAATAAAAAAAAAAAAAAAAAAAAAAAAAAAAAGTTTAAAATAAATGTGCAGGTGGATTCTTGGTTCCCTCTCGCCGAGTGCTTAATGGTCTCCCTATGTGCTCACCTATATATTTGCCTAAATAAATCCAGCAAATACACTTTTTATCCTTCCAGGATAGATGGGATGGAATGATGCTCTTGAATTATCTCAGAAGGTGGATGTGATTTATATTTGTTCTCCTGTGGCTGCTCATGAGCGGGTATACTGACCATCTCTCTGAGGATCTCCCAATTCCCCTCCTGGGGCTGTTTCCTTTTCACTTAGTCCTCCTTATATCAGCTCAAAGGGTGTTGTTCAATAAGAAAGGAAGACAAACAGACCATAGTGTCTTATCCTTGTAAAAAGGGGGTTTATTGCTGCCAGTTGCACATAGTATACAATTGTAGTCCAGCATAAATGTGCTCACCTCTGTTCCTGCAGTGCTGTCTACCTGTGTCTGTATTCAGATCACCGAGCCTGCTCCAGTGCAATGTCGTGAACGTCAGATGCCCCTAACCTACGCGTATCGTCAAGGGTCAATTTGACTTCTACAGGGGGTGAAAGATCTAATCATTCCCCACTGATGAAGAGTGTTTTGTGACCCTGTTTGACGATACGCGTAGGGGAGGGGCTCTGACGTCACGACATTGCACTGGAGAGGCTCGGTGATCTGACATACAGACACAGGTAAGACAGCACTGCAGGAACAGAGGCAGAGCACATTTATGCTGGACTACAATTGTATACTACTGTGCAACTGGCAGCAATAAACCCCCTTTTTGCACAAGGATAAGACACTATGGTCTGTTTGTCTTCCTTTCTCAATTGAACAACACCCTTTGAGCTGATATAAGGAAACTGGAAAAGGAAACAGCCCCAGGAGGGGAATTGGGAGATCCTCAGAGAGATGGTCAGTATACCCACTCATGAGCAGCCACAGGAGAACAAATATAAATCCACATCCACCTTCTGAGATAATTCAAGAGCATCATTCCATCCCATCTATCCTGGAAGGATAAAAAGTGTATTTGCCTGGATTTATTCAGGCAAATATAGAGGTGAGCACATAGGGAGACCATTAAGCACTCGGCGAGAGGGAACCAAGAATCCACCTGCACATTTAGGTTTTGAAAGACTTTTTTTTTTTTTTTTTTTATTGAATATATCATAAGCACGTGCACATAATATATATGATGTGTTTGCACAATATAAATATAAGGATCACAGTAGAATAGAGGAGTATTTCTGATTTGTATATCACTGTACTTTAATAGGCCTATCACCTTAGGATTATCAGTTATTAATGTCACTAGCATGAAGATCTATTCACAATGATGTTTTGAGTCACTAGTAATAATTGTTTGATACATGCATGTATCTTGAAAGCTATTGCATTACACTTTGAAAGTATAAGATATACATATTCATATCTATAGGTACACTTATAAATTATCCTCCAAAGTAAGTATTTGCGTATGATTACAATGGGCCCAAACATTTTAATTTTTTTCTATAGTCCACAGATATAAGCACAACTTCTGGAGCAGTACAAATATATGTAACCATGTGACCATACTATACCCATATGGAAAAATCTTCTATTTGAAATTATTTTAACAAAGGGGGTACGCCTGGGATATTGCCATAGATTTCAAATGCTACGTCTTATTTTGGCCGTATTCAATATATATATATATGTCTCTTATTGTGTGTGTATATACTGTATATACTGCATGTTGCAATGACTTTTTATTACAAAATATATAAAACAGCACATTTCAGCATATACTGTATGTCTTTAAAAGTACCCTTTACCTTTTTGCGAATGATGCATTTACACTCTTTTTATGTATAAATATCTTTGCAAAAAAACTTTTTATAGCCATTGCCCTTCTGTGAAGAGATATATTTACCTCTTATCTTTTAAAATTATATGGACCATTAAATATATATGCCTTCACCATTTTTTTAACCACACCAGTAATTTTTCTATATTTTGTGATAAAACGTCATTTTAAACATGCCTAATTGGTGCTTATTATGCTATATTATATATATATGACATATACAGGTGTTTATCAATACCTGATATGGAAAGCACCTGTAGCAACCTCTTCAGTATCTTCAATGGTATTTTATCAGAGAATCCTTTGAAAATGTTTCTATTCACTTAGTGCTTTAGTATAGTTGATGTTTTTTCAATAAGTAACAATAAGAGGTGTTTACAATATGATGAAGTTTGCAAAATGGGTATGTATACAACGTCCTTGTGGATAGAGAATTGATTCTGAATACACAAGGCCAGGAATGTACATTGAAATCCCTCAACGACCCTCTTTCAATAGCATTGGGGTTGACATAAAATTTGTACATCTGTACGTAAATATTGCATAGAGAGTATGGAGTAAAACATATCGATGTAAATAGCACAATTTTCCCAAAAGTATGTGGAAACCTCTCCAAATATTTGAGTGCACAGAAGCAGCTTCATAAAGACATGATTTATTGTTTGGTGTGGAGGACCTTGAGTCCTGACTGCAGCTCTTTAATGATCACCTGGGGGAGGAATTGGAATCCTAAATGTGAGCCAGGTCATCTAAACCAGGGGTCTCCAAACTGCGGCCCAAGGGCCAGATGTGGCCCTTTGCTACCCTTTATCTGGCCCTTGGGGTACTATTCCTCCCCACTGAGACCAACAATGGGGCAGTACTTCTTCCATTGAAACCAATGATGGGACACTATTCTTCCTACTAATACCAATGATGAGGCACTACTCCTACTGACCGTCAATCCTGCGGCCATGTTTATTCTCACCGATGCTTGGGCCAGGACATTTTCTATCCTCGCTGGTCCTAATCTGGCCCTCCTAAAGTCTAAAGGACAGTATACTGGCCCTTTGTTTGAAAAGTTTAGAGACCTCTGATCTAAACCAATGCAAATGACATCACAAATTCTCTTTAGGCTGAATGGGAACAAAATCCCACAGACACTCTACAAAATCTTGTGGAAAGTCTAACCAGAAGAGTGGAGACTTTATAGTCACTAAGAGGAGGCATGTTAGGTACCGCCCGGCAGTATCTCTAGTGAACCACAGAACGGGATTCCCCAGAACGCGGAGTCTAAGCCCCAGTCTGCTTATTCACCAGAGCCCCTGATGGTGGGGATGGACTTGGAGCAGAACTGAGACCAGGTCGCGGCCCCTGGGTACGCCCAACTGTGGTAGAGAGGACCGCCAGAGGTATGTACAGGAGGAGAGCCTGATGTGAAGAGACTGGCAGGCCCTGGACAGTAGCGACTGGATCCGAGCGGGATGGATGGGTGGATGACAGTATGAAGTATAGCGGGGTCAGACAAGCCAGGTCGGTAACAGCAGAGGCAGTACGGTACAGGGCAGCAGGCAGAGAGTAACCAGGTCACGAGCAAAGGTTCGGCAACAGGAGGTCAAATAATTCAGGAGTAGGCAGAAGAGTAGTCAGGGATGAGCCAGGGATCAGGGCAGGAGATGGTCAACGGATCAGGGTCAGGCAGGGTCAGCAACTAGCAATCTCTTAGGAACACAGGATAACAGGAAAAGCAGGAAAGACAATACAGCAATTTGAGTATTGCCAGAGTCTGTTTAAATAGTGCGCCCCGTGCACTCATTGGTGCCAGGCACGCCCGCGAGCGTGAGTGCGCATGCGCGGCCGCCGTTGCTGCCATGGGCACCCAGGTCCTAGCGCCCGCACGCTATTGCACCTAGACAGACCGCGCATGCGCAGACTCGCGCGCCGCGGTAACGTCTGGAGTCCCTGACAAGGCAACTCCTTGTAAATGTTCAACTGTTCATGGTTTTAGAATAGGATGTTCAACAAGCTCATATAGGTATAATGGTCAGGTGTCCACAAACCTTATCTGTCCAGCAAAGTGCCCAACAAACATTACTGGTGGATCTTGTTGTTCCTTCCAGTCAGTTTCTAAGCCTAGAGAAAACCCTATACCCAAATCGTGAAAATCGGGCCTCGTCTTCTAGTCAAGAAAGATCAAAGTTCAGCTCTAGGATATAAAGCATTTCTTGCCCCTGGTCTCTGCTCTAAATACTATATGTAGCACTACCCCCTTAGGAGTCGCTGAGTTTTGGGTCCCCCTACAGCTCTGCACAACCAGGTAACATGCATTTTCTTTCACACCTGCACACTGGAGACAGTAAACAGTCCTCAAGCTTGGTTTTGTGATTTTATTGAGGGGTTTAGAATTTGGGATGCCCAGGAAACTGTGAACCATGAGGACAAACTCCTTAGCAACTATGTACAAGTCCATGGACAAAAAGTCTCTCCTTTAAAGAGCTTTCCAGCATTCTGGTGTACCTCCTCAGACCCCAGATGGACCCTCCTCTTCACTCAGCTGCCTGAGGATATCCCTTGGCAAGGAGACCCAGAAACATCTAACTTAAGAAACCGTCTCAGATGAGGAGCTAGCTGTGTTCTCCACCTGACTGCCCTCTCCCCATATCTGGCCCAGGGGCTGTAAGGTTACTCACACTGTCCTTCCTGAT